TATACAATGCAGTCAGTGTGACATCCGTTTGTAGTATTCAATTAAATAAAGGTTTCACCGTCTCGATTCTGATTTAAGTGATTCATACTTCAAATATTAGGTTGAACGGTATGTTTGCCAGAAAATCTGCATTTAGTCAACAATAAATTTAACCTTTATATCAAATTATCTTACCGCTTTAACATTACATCCGAAATGTCAGACGTTTCTATCAGTTATTGTGGATTTTTCGAAATCACTAAACAAATTAAAAAAAAAGAAAGATTTTTTATATAAGAATTCAGAAAGGTGAGTTTAATGTTTAATCAGCTATAAAATTGAAAATTTACAACTATACAAATGTATATTCTTAAATATTAAAAAGAAAAGTTAAAATCACAATGAATAAATTCTGAAACTGAAATATTTATTTAAAACAATTATTTAAGAATCTCGTAGGAATGCGCTTTAAATGATTTGAATAGGCTGAAACAGCATTGTTAGCAAATATAGTAAGCTTTTGTTCGGAGTCACACTAAGGTGTACTCTGTATCTGTTGGGAAAACTCCGAAATTGAAGGCACAGACTTTTCAATACACATACAAGCCAAATAAGTAGGACCGCAATATGCACTTAAGCGTCTCAATTTTCTGCGGTCATCAGTAATGTCCGCACGCTTTCAAAGTGATAAACGGGATTTAAAAAACCCAGATAAATGGAATACAAACATCCAAACATTTCAAATATGTCTAAAAATGACCATCTTCAAACAGAGGTAATCTGTTGTAGTTATGTTGAACGTGAGAAGGATCTGTACATTACAAACAAAACAATGTTGGAATCTGACCACGTGCATCCGCTCGTGGTGTGGTGAAAAATCACGTGATAATATAATCGTGAATGTATGAAGATATATACGGTTATTGTTTTTTTTTTAATTTATTTTCGTGTACTTGACAGATTAGTCATGGATGACTAATATTAATATTGCGTGTTCAGCAAATACGGATCAATGTAAATTTATGGAATATCGCTCTCATTCCGAAATGAAGTGATATATAACAAGTCAACGCTAGCTGTACAGTATTTGATAATGGTAAACAAATCTACGTCGTGTTGAAATGAAATTGAAAGATAAAATGAAATAATTATATTAACCAGAGACGTATATGACGCGTGTGATATATACCTCTCTTTATTAACAGACATATTGTTAAATGTAATGTTATAATATAAGTAAAAAAAGTCGAAAAGAAAATTTTGCTACGACGTCTACTGTTCAGTATACACCCGTATAAATTTATAAATGTTGATTACACACACAGAAGTAAAATCACATCATTTTATTTTATATATGCAACTCACATTACCAAAGCCCAATATAATTGAATTATGACCGCCACTGGTTAGTGTAAGTGATTTTGTATCAAATGTTCACGGCATATATAAATATATGATATATGTGCTTCATCAGCTATATATAAACACTACACATTTCTTACATTTAAAATAAGAGTCAAACATCATATTGATTTAAATCAATATTAGTTTGCATTCGATCAGTGTATGCTTTGCTTTCCATTGCATTATTTCGACCAATCAACGGGTTGGGAAATCTCTTTTTCTGAATGTGTAAACATACGTACTTACTTCCGGCAAATGTTTTGAAAAGTTTTGAATATACTCATAAAAAATGTGACACGTAAAAAATGAAGGAGAAAGCATCAATTTGAGAGTGTTTGTGGAAGAAAATATCATAGCTGTGATATAATGACGTCAATTAACAGTTGACTGTGCACGAAATAATGGAAGATGACTTCAGCGAACGACAAGAAGATGAATTGCAGGTTCTGCAAGCAATTTTCATGGATGATGTGGAAGATCTTCGAACCCGAGATGCATGGAAAGTGAGTTCATACCAACTAGCTTCTCCGCCCTATTTAATTAAGATCGTTATTTGATAATCATATACTACGGAACATGTTTTTGTTTTCCATTCAGTAGAATAATGACTGTAAATTAAGTACTGTTCGATACGTCTTGCGCTTGACAAACAAGACACGAAACGTCAGTGTGTCTAGGTATAGATACCGAAACAAGCGACAGATAAAAACATATTAAAATAATGTTACGATGGATTTCAAATCAAATGTAGATACAAGTTCACAGTTTTCACAAAAGTCAATTTAGTAACAGTTAATTTCAATGGGTTTTATATGTTTAAAAATACAGTCATAGACCAGTGTATGAGATGAACACATTGTCGATTGTCTCTGATTTCCCAGGTGAAGCAGGCTGTGAAATTGAGACTCAAGCTGTCTCCTCAACAGAGTTGTGGAACCCATGGAGAGGTCTACGCCAGACTGGACATGGTGGTCAAATGTCCAACCAGATATCCAGAAGAGTATGTATCATACATCTGTAAAAGGAATTGATCAATGCGACTTTTACTCAGTCTTAAATGTGGTTTCTCTAGCTTGGCTGATGAAGCATGCTTCTTTAGTCTTGGGTAGATTTCAACTAAATGTTGCGTGAATTGTCATCACAATCGTAGGTTTCAAATTTGTGAATTCTGACTTGACCACTTTCCTGGATTTTTAGGACCTGAAATATTTATTTCAGCTGGTTTATGGATCTTGGAAAAACTTTCTATTTGTGTGAAAATTGCATACAATAAAGCACAGAGACCTCCTCTTTTTCAATCATGAAAAAAATATCTTCAAAATTTCTTTATCATACTAATGTCTTGAAAAATGTTTACCACTAGAAGATGGTCAAATGAAAGATTTATGTCATTTTGGAACATTTTCGTTTTTTGGTTGCTATATGATTTGAAGCTTATGAAATCAAATGAAAACTTCGCATTTTCACATTTTGTTTTTAACAAAAATAATTGAATTTGATTGAAATAACTACATATTCTCTCACAAATATGTGTTTCCATGCAAAAACATTTTTGCAGGGTTCCAGACATTGTATTTGAGAATTCTAAAGGGCTCTCTAATAAGGAACTAGATGAACTGAAGAGAGAAGTGGACAAATTAGCCAACAGCTTGAAAGGAGAAGTAAGTTGTGTCACCTTGATATATCCTTGTGTTGGAAGGAATTGAACATTAATAATCTTCTGGACTATTATATTAAAAAAGACCAATAGACATTACTCTGTTGATGCAGGAAAGAAAACTATATGCATACTCAAGCATAACCAACTGATAAATGAAAATCTCTTATGTTTCTTGTGATGTTTTTGTGTCAGGTGATGTTACTTGAATTGGCCCAGACTGTTCAACGGTACCTCCACCAACACAATCGTCCTCCTGGAAAATCTTTCTATGAAGAAATGATGTCCAACAAGCGCGAACAGGAAGAAAGGCTTGCTAAAGAACATCAGAAAAAACTAGATATCCTGAAAAAGAAAGAGGAGAAACAGGTTTGTAAATGGTTGTCAACTGGATGTAATAAATTGAACAACATCCAGCTTTTTCTTTTTCTGGGATATGTTTCTTCCACACTTGCGGATGTTTTCCATTAGAGATCTTCAGATGTTGATAGAAAGAGCAAAAAGTACATTTTCAGTTGACAAATTCAACATGTAATTAAAAGCACAAAGGAAAGCAATTTTTGCTACAATTCCAGTAAAGTTATACAAGGTAATCTGAAATGACAATCAACATCTATTCTGATGTAAAGAAAATGTTACTAAAGAGGATTTCATAATTTAACAAATGCTTCAAAACCATGTAATTTCTTCCAAGAGGAAATATGTATATGTAGATAAAATGATATTGTAAGTAGGGGCAGTTTTATTGTAGCAAGAAAGTGTGCTATGTCAAATGGCAGATGATGAAGATAAAAGAGTTTTTGCAGGTGTGTGTTTTTTTTTCTTTTCCTAATTAAATTATGAGTTTGTATTTTTACACAGCGTCAACTTTTGGAGGATGAGATAGAACGTAGAAAAGCAGCCCTGAAGGTGGAAACGAGGAAAATTAAGTTTGAACATCACCAGGTATTATATAGTGTGTGTATAGTGTATTTATGTAATCCTGGTTAATACTAGCTGCAATATACCGCTCGGCTAGAGAGAACATCTCTTTAGCTCGATCAGTTGTGCATCAGGCTAGTAAGCCAGAGGTCCTGGGTTCTAATCCTAGCAGAGGTATTGAAGTAAATAATGACCTCTGTTACATTGGTGCCCATGTAGGGACTAGAAAATAATACTTAGCGTTACATTCACAAGTACCGCTGTAACCCAAGGACAAGTATATTTCTTAGAGGGGGAATGTGTAACACTGGTAAAAGACTAGCTGCATTTATATATTACATTTATAATTTCAGAATATCATTAGGTATAGATAGTTTAGAGTAGGACTATTTACAAGAAATACAGGATTTATTTTTTGCATTCAAGTTTTGATTATCCATTTGTACAACTTAATAACAAATATAAGATTCATATAACAATATAATCAGACACACAAAGAATATGAAGCAATACATGTTTCTAAATGAAAATATGTAGGTCATCTTTTAGAAAATTTGTTCTTATGATCTTGTGAAAATTTTGTTCGTAAAAAGTGTGCAAGTGTATGAAATAAAATACTGGTTTTGTTGTAAAGGTGAAATTGGTACAGTATACCAGATCATGTACTGCCTATCCATATTTAATCAACATTACTTATTACAGGAAATAGTTTTGGGAGAATGATACATCAGATGTTATCACAGTGGGAGATATAGGCAGATTTTCATGCTACCCTTTTTTCTGTTGATGTTCCTGTGAACTTAAATTGTTATATCTTTACCAGGAGAATGATTCACCGGTAAGCTCAGAGCCCTCCACGCCATCAGCTGAGGTCATCAATTGTTCCCCTATTGGGACACCTGGAACTCCACGTCGTAAACCCCGGGCGTCAGTATCACCTTCACCTCTTATTGTCCTCAACAACCAGGAAACTAATGGTGATCAGAGAACTCGACGACAAAGGTGAGGAAAGTTTATACAATTATTTTTCTTTGAGGATGTTATATAAAAATGTTGATTGGTCATTGATTTTTTAAAGAAATTTTGGTATTGCGATGTTTATAAAAATTGATAGTTTTTTATTCCTTTTTGAATATAGGTTTTTGTCTAAGGTATTTGTATGGAAATATTTTCTAAGATACAAACAAGAATACAAACATTTTCCTTTGCTCTTGACTTTAGTACTGGTGCTACCTAATATGAAAGAACAAGATGGAATTTTAATATGCTTCTATAGGTTTTAGTTTGTGGGATGCATTTTATATAAATATCATTAAACTGTTTAAAAATTAATGTTTTTGACTTTTTCAGACATTGTACATGTTTTAGTATAAAAATTTTATTTTGTATTTGATGAGACGAACCAGCACTCCCCACCGTAACTCTGGAGGTGACGGCACTGATCAACACTGTAAAGATCATGTTGGTGGAGTAGTTGTTTTGGCATTCAACACAAAAGCTGATCGCACCATTAACCGTGGAAAGTGTATGGGTAAGACAATCTGTTAAGAAATAGCCTTGATACCATTCCTTTTGGATAGTGGAATCTTAGTCTACCATCATCAGAATGTGTTTTAAAACAAAACTGTCCATGGTCCACTGACCTTGTTGGACAATATCATCTGGCTTTGTTTTGAACTTTCTTATGTTTCATATGTAGGTTCTCGTCCCTAGTTTTGTATGCTCAATCAGAAAAACAATCAGACCGACAGGTGGCCATCTTGGATTTTGAAAGTGAAATTCTGTTATGGCTATTTCTCAGATAGCATTTGGTAGCTTCTCAAATTTATAAGTAGGTTCCCCTGGGTTATTTATGATGTAAGTGTAAAATTCATCAGGAGTAGTTGTGCATAAAGCTTTTACTAAGTTTACACTCTTTACATTTTCATAATGTCATCACAGAATAGTGAATTTAACCACAGCACTGATTTTATACAGAATTTAAAAATGAAAATAAAACTTGTCTTTAACAAGTGTTCCAACCTTATAATTTCCAATACTAATTGAAAGTTTTCTTTTTGTGACTTTTGTTTTTCAGAATTGTGTGATCATATTCTTGTTTTAGAATTGTTATTTTGGTCATGAAATTTTCTTAACATTGCCACCCAGATAGTAAAGAGATATTTTACAATATTGTCTGATCTTTTGGTGAATTACCGTTGATAATTCAAACAACCATATTGAAGCACAGTGAAGGATAAACTCATAAAAATCTGATATTTTTATAGGGCATAGTCACAATGGTAGTGCGGTGTATGCCGGGATAGACACACAGACGGGCGATTTGGTGGCTGTAGTGGAGTGGGTCCTTAAGTGGCACAACAGTGGTCGCCATCAAGTGACCATGAACAAAGACAATGACAAGGACATCAGCCAATACACAAAACAGGTATTGTATCATCAACTATTAACACTATGTAACAGTATAGAAAATGGGGACAGTAGTGTTCTGCTATCATAATGTTTAGTTTTGAAACTTTGTCAAAACTTCATTCCATTTTGTCATCCTCAATACTCCATAGGTTATGGGCACTTTTGCTCTTTGCACCTCTGGATCATGTCATGCGAACAAACAAAGTAATTTGATTGGTTCTAGGAGAAAAAAAACTGGCCAATCACAGCCAGATATGCTCCTTTTGAAGATTACAAAGGAGCAACACCCAACTTCAAAGCCATAACAATATACTGATGTGTGAACTGATGTATCTACTTACTGTTGTTTTTTTGATGATGATTTAAATTTCTTTTATCTTTTTTTTTTTACAATGTCTAGGTGATGAGTATAGAACAGGAGATGAACTCACTGATCCATCTCCACCACCCAAATCTCATTCACTATCTGTCCTTCAAGTATCAGAAGGAGGCTGACAAGATCACCATATATGTAAGTAACACCCATTCTGATTGGTACAAATCCAAGTTTTGTATTTTGTTACATCCAATCTGATTGATGGTCTACTCATCCATGTTTTGTAGTCTGTAACACTGGCTCTGATTGGTAGCTGTGGTTTTGTAGTTCTGTTTATTGTGACCAAATTTGATCTTGTCTTTAGGTGTTGATGGAATATTGTACTGGTTTGAGTATGGATACATACACGAAGAAGAATCAGCCAGTGGCCATTGACCTTGTCAAACACTATGCCGAGGATCTCCTGCATGCCCTCGAGTACATACACAGTAAAGATGTGGTGCATAAAAGCTTAAGGGTAAGTCTAGAAAAGCATTAAACTCTGAGGATAAGTCTAGAGAGACTCTGAAATATGAGGGTAAGTCGAGAGAGACACTGAAATGTGGGGGCAAGTTGAGAGAGACTCTGAAATATTATGATAAGACTAGAGAGACACTGAAATGTGGGGGTAAGTCAAGAGAGAAAGTGAAAGTAGAGAGTTAGTCTAGAAAGACTCTGAAATGTTAATATGAGACTAGATAGACACTGAAATATGAAGGTAAGTCTAGAAAGACGCTGAAATGTGAGGGTAAGTCTAGAAAGACGCTGAAATGTGAGGGTAAGTCTAGAAAGACACTGAAAAGTGAGGTTAAGTCTAGAAAGCCACTGAAATGTGAGGGCAAATTCCAGAGAAACACCTTAGGCTGAGAGTGAAGTGGGTACTGAAAGATCTGTAGGAAAGTCTTGAGAGGCAAAGAAATGTAAGGATAAGTCTGGAGAGATACAGAGATGTCAGTGTAATTCTAGAGAGACACTTAAGCTAAGGATAAATCTAAATAGGCAATGAAAACTAACAGTAAGTTAGACTGCATTGAGTGAAAAAGTGAGTAAAGAGAAAATGGGAAATTATATTATCATGAAGATACTAAGGTAGAAAATTTCTCCTGTAAAGTAATTACAGTTTTGTCATCTTGTAAGTTTAAGTGGAAACACATTAGATGGTCTGTTATTATTGTATAGCATATAAACTTAAATATGATCTTTGTATTTACAGCCGTCCAGCGTATTTGTGGATCACTCTGGTAAGGTACGCCTCTCTGACTACAGTGTAGACAAAAGGCTGACCGACCTGTATCAGCTGGTGGAAACAAATCGACCTGGTGTCCACTTCACTGATCACAGGCCAGTTGCTGTTGGCAGAGGAGGGAAGAAATGTGACGTTTTCCAACTGGTATCAAGTTTTATTACTATAGATTTATTATGTAAAAGCTAATGTGATTGGATTATATTTGTATCAGCAATGCCTCTTTGTAACAGCAGATCTGATTGGAATATACTTATATCAACAAGGCCTTCCCTTAGGAACAGCAAGATAGGAAGATATTGATCACATGACATGGAAAAGAACATATCAATGTTTTGTATTTGAGTTTCCTAATAATTATGAGACATTAATGTTATGTATTATACAAACATTTGCAATGTAAAACCATTTTGATCTTAAACAACATCATTCATCATATGCAATTTAATATGATATAATTCCAACGGTGAGATTATCATGGGCTGGTCTCTGAAGACAGTTCTGAAGGTTTCTCCTGACAGGTAGACAAAATGATTGATCTCCTTAGAAAAGTCATGTAGTTCAAATTTTTAACTGTTACAGGGGTTGATGTTGCTGTCCATTGCTCGTGGAGAAGAAGTAGTGATGACTACACCAGACATACCTACCGTCTTCCCTATAGACTTCCAGGATTTCTTGACAAAGTAAGTCCTACACCAGACATACCTATCGTCTTCCCTATAGAGTTCCAGGATTTCTTGACAAAGTAAGTCCTACACCAGACATACCTACGGTCTTTCATATAGACTTGTAAGATTTCCTGACAAAGTAAGTCCTACACCAGACATACCTATCGTCTTCCCTATAGACTTCCAGGATTTCTTGACAAAGTAAGTCCTACACCAGACATACCTACCATCTTCCCTATAGACTAACAGGATTTCTCGACAAAGTAAGTCCTACACTAGACATACCTACCATCTTCCCTATAGACTAACAGGATTTCCTGACAGAGTAAGTCCTACACAAGACATACCTACCATCTTCCCTATAGGCTACCAGGATTTCCTGACAAAGTAAGTCCTACACCAGGCATACCTACCATCTTCCCTATAGGCTACCAGGATTTCTTGACAGAGTAAGTCCTACACCAGGCATACCTACCATCTTTCCTATAGACTTCCAGGATTTCTTGACAAAGTAAGTCCTACACCAGACATACCTACCGTCATCCCTATAGACTACCAGGATTTCTTGACAGAGTAAGTCCTACACCAGGCATACCTACCATCTTCCCTATAGACTACCAGGATTTCTTGACAAAGTAAGTCCTACACCAGACATACCTACCGTCATCCCTATAGACTACTAGGATTTCCTGACAAAGTAAGTCCTACACCAGGCATACCTACCATCTTCCCTATAGACTTCCAGGATTTCTTGACAAAGTAAGTCCTACACCAGACATACCTACCGTCATCCCTATAGACTACCAGGATTTCTTGACAAAGTAAGTCCTACACCAGACATACCTATCGTCTTCCCTATAGACTTCCAGGATTTCTCGACAAAGTAAGTCCTACACCAGACATACCTACCGTCATCCCTATAGACTACCAGGATTTCTTGACAAAGTAAGTCCTACACCAGACATACCTACCATCTTCCCTATAGACTTCCAGGATTTCTCGACAAAGTAAGTCCTACACCAGGCATATCTTCCATCTTTCCTATAATCTTCCAAGATTACTTGACAAATTGAGTTCTACTGTCCTTCCTCTGATGGACTTCCAGGATTAAAAGAAAATAAAAAGAAAGAAAGGAAGGAAGAAAGAATGAAAGAAAGATTATCATAATTCATTGTCACTACCACTAAAAGTTTTTTAAACTAGGAGGAGTTTTTACTTTTCAAAGTGTGTTTTATTTGTTATTAATCTGTGATTTAGATGCCTGTTAAAAGACGACCGGCACCGCTGGGCAGTGCATGAGTTGCTAGAACATCCCTTCATTAAGTCATCCATCCCACTGACCGTCCACTACACACAAGTCAAACCTTTGGACAAACCTCAAACTTCAGGTAAGTTAGGAGTGACATAAAGTAGGTGAGTGAGACTTAAGATTTTAAGCTTCACTAATCATGGCAACATTATGGCATTAATGCAGACTTGTGCATGTTTTACATACATTTTCCAGTCAGAGTATCATAGTAAAGAAAAAGAAATTTTGTGTTGATCTTTTGCTTGAAGGACCAGGTGATGGAGATAATCAGAAAGATGAAGAGGAGGAAGAAGAGGAAGAGAAAGAACAGCCATTTATTACTGCATTTGAAGCCAGTGGACAATCTCGGCTGACAAATGAATTTGAGGTTCTGAAATCTCTGGGTAAAGGAGGCTTCGGAGATGTATTAAAGGTTTGTGTTTAGAATCTTTATCAGAAAAAATATATCAGGGAATTTCTTCAAGCCCTGAGGTTGATCACAGAGTCAAATTGTACAAACCAATAACCTACCATTTGATATTAAGCTGTACAGTCGTGTGATAAGCTGTAGTAATATAATGTCAACATATTGAAGTTTGTGAAATGAAATTTTAACACAGTATCATTTTGGCAAGTTATCAAAATCACAAATAAGTGATCTATTAAAATGATTTTTATGTAAACAAAACACAGAAATTGCAATAAGCACAATATTTTCAGCATGAAAAATGCTAAAATATAATAACTGCCAAGATATATTAGTTTACAGAACATGGGGATAACGCTAAAGTCAGCAGTCAGTGAAGTGTGTGTTCTTGTATCTATTTTCAGGTGAAGAATAAACTTGATGCTCGGATGTACGCCATTAAGAGAATACCACTGAATCCTCGCAGTAAACTTTTCAACAAGAAGATTACGCGGGAAGTGAAGCTTCTGTCTCGTCTCAACCATGAAAATGTTGTCAGGTATTCATCCTAGTTATGTAAATGATGTACATATATGATGAAACTAAATGTCAAGATTTGTGTTTTAGGTCAAGTTTTACGTATCTCTGAGACTTATTTTTGTGTTAGGTTTAGTTTTACGTATCTCTGAGACTTGTTTTGGTGTTAGGTTGAGTTTTACGTATCTCTGAGACCCTGTAGATGGACTTTCTGTGTGAGACTAATCCTTCTCAATAATAAATTCATTTATTCTGGATAGCTACATTTTATATCTGAGCGACCTTGTTTTATTGTACTGAAAACTTTTGAACTTTTGACCTCCTGGTAGGTACTACAACTCCTGGATAGAAACCAGTGAGGATCCGGCAGAAAGTGATTCTTCTTGGAGTTCTACCAACACACCCCAGTCGCCATCTGTCAAGGCACCAACTCAACAGCCATCAGCTTTCTTCCACAACACACTTAACCTGACTGATGATTTGGAGAAGTTCGCGCCCAAGGCAGTGCCCATGGAAGAATCTATAGAGTGGAGTGTGTCGTACAATGTTGGAGGAACAAACATGCAGGAGTCCGACTCAGAAGACGAAGAGGATGTGTTTGGTGCATCATTCTTGTGAGTGAACAAATTTACTCCTTTTCTGTTGTGTGTTACTCCTATTTGATCAAAGTGAATCCAAAGGTCAAGTATGAGTATATTTTGAGTTTATGTTTTAGGTTTCAAGGTCAAGGTCACTAAGCTATGTTAAGAAATTTATCAGGCATTGGTACTGATTTTGTTTGTATGGAGGTAGTTGCATTCATGTCTTAGAGACATAAGTGTTGGGATGTCAGTTTAAAATTACAATCGATCAGTCGTAGGAATGGATTGACACAACCGCTGTGACTTTACCAATTATAATCAGTTACAGTATATACCAGTACCTATTTAAGTGATTTTTCAGGACTTATTTTTATCTTATTTAGTATTTTATTTGATCCAAGTAAATCAAATAAAGTATACATCTTTAGCTTGTTAGGATATTTTGTAATGACTAGTATTGTGGAATTTGGCTTTCTATATATGTACTTTGGCCACCTTTAGGTTTGCGATCACCTTCTGCTAAGTGTCCACCATGTTGGTCATGTGGTGTGTTCGTAGCAACTTTTCAAGGGGTACATTTGAATTGAAAAACACAGAAGGCTTGTTCTTATACTTTTTTTTACAAATAACTGGTTGTGCTCAATCAAAACTCATCATCACAATAAGAAAAGCAATAATTAATTGACAACTGATTGCACATGATCATTGGTCCATTTTTTTGAATATCCAACAGATGATATTATGAGGCTGGAGTGGTTTTTTTAGCATTTTTAGTTCACCTGGCCCGAAGAGCATCCATCATCCAATGTATGGCCATCCTGCTGTCCTGTGTCAACTTTTCCTATAAATCGTTAGTCATTAATGACTGAGCAGATTTTATCCAAATTTAGTCTGAATCATCCTTGGGTTTTTAAGATTTATCTTGATCTCCAGGAATAGCAGAATATTGTTCAAATTTGGTCTGAAGCATGCTTTGGTAAAAGGAAAAAAGTTTTGTATAAATGGTTGGTTTGGTCCTTCCCCCTGACCTCTGGACAGAGGGGTGGGGCCACATAATAATAAATTCATCTACTTTTTCTGGAAATTGCTACTAGGCACAAAGAGTTGAGCAGATTTTATTCAATTTTGGTCTGAAAACATCCTTAGATAAAGGGGAAGTGTTTTTGTATGAACCATGGATCTACTCAACCCCCCACCCCTTAAATCTTTTAAATGCTTTTTCATCTAGTTCAGATGAATAAATTTCAACAGACTAAATAGATGAGCAATACAGACTCTATGGGCCTTTTGTTTTTAAAAGAAATTGGTTGTAATCTGTATGACTTAGGTATCTCTTGGAAATAAATACTTTGAAATTTTCTCATCTTAGACCAAAGTCAGACTCGTCCGAAGACATTGTGTTTGAACATAGCTTGGAAAATCTATTCGAGGAGGAGGCTACCACAAGCTTTGAGCCCTCATCGTCTTCCAATAAGGTACAACTAAATAGCAGATGGCTTCAGAAAAGTTCAATTCACTTGTATTATATATATTTGAACAATTCCCATTGCAAAGTTTATTGTATTCAACCTATAAGTTAAATGAATGCTCTTCATGTTAAATATATCAATAATATTTCTCTTAGAAGAAAATACTAGGCCTTTCTTTTGACTTAAGATGGTGTGTTTTTGCAGAAAAGTCTAGACACAGACAAGAAAGAAGAAACAACTGATAGCGAGGACATGTCATTGATACCACGACTACAGTATCTATACATACAGGTACTATGGACCAATATCTAAAAGATGTCACATTTTTTGTTCTCTACTTTTATCATTTTGTAGACAGGGAATCTATAACTTCGTGTCAGTGTGTGCGTCATTCTCTCATCGATTTTTTCAGATTGATAAAAAGAAAAGAAAAAGGGCCTTTTTATTTACAATGCAGAAAGAATATGTTTTATTGAAATTCTTTTTAGATTCTATGTGTTAAATAAATATAATTGCCTGGATTCTCTATGTCTTTTTTGATAACTATTATTTATGCCATTTCACTTATCTATAATTGTTTGGTAAGTATTTACATGCAAAAAGATATTTGATAACTACCTGAGAAGGTTAGGGATGTCATCATTCTTTCATACCTTTCAAATTTGTTATCAATTCTGTAAAAGTTATTGTGCAGAATGAGAATTTATAGTATGGAATTCTTTTAAAAGGGAGTTAAAGTGTGTTATCATGTCTCTTTAACAGATGGAGTACTGTGAGAAGAGTACGCTTAGGGACTGTATAGATGCTGGACTGTGCGAGGACCATGACAGATCATGGCGATTCCTTAGGGAGATGATTGAAGGTATCCAACATATCCATCAACAGGGCATGATTCATCGTGACCTTAAACCTGTCAATATCTTCCTTGACTCCAATGATCATGTCAAGATCGGTGACTTTGGACTGGCCACTACCAACATCATACTCAAGGTTGGTATTGTGTAACGTTTTGCCTTGTTGAAGTGTAACATTTTGCCTTGTTGAAGTGTAACATTTTGCCTTGTTGAAGTGTAACATTTTGCCTTGTTGAAGTGTAACATTTTGCCTTGTTGAAGTGTAACATTTTGCCTTGTTGAAGTGTAACATTTTGCCTTGTTAACATTTTGAAGTGTAACATTTTGCCTTGTTGAAGTGTAACATTTTGCCTTGTTGAAGTGTAACATTTTGCCTTGTTGAAGTGTAACATTTTGCCTTGTTGAAGTGTAACATTTTGCCTTGTTGAAGTGTAACATTTTGCCATGTTGAAGTGTAACATTTTGCCTTGTTGAAGTGTAACATTTTGCCTTGTTGAAGTGAAACATTTTGCCTTGTTGAAGTGTAACATTTTGCCTTGTTGAAGTGTAACATTTTGCCTTGTTGAAGTGTAACATTTTGCCTTGTTGAAGTGTAACATTTTGCCTTGTTGAAGTGCCTTGTTGAAGTGTAACATTTTGCCTTGTTGAAGTGTAACATTTTGCCTTGTTGAAGTGTAACATTTTGCCTTGTTGAAGTGTAACATTTTGCCTTGTTGAAGTGTAACATTTTGCCTTGTTGAAGTGTAACATTTTGCCTTGTTGAAGTGTAACATTTTGCCTTGTTGATTTTTTGCCATTTGTTGCCTTGTTGAAGTGTAACATTTTGCCTTGTTGAAGTGTAACATTTTGCCTTGTTGATTTTGCCTTGTTGAAGTGTAACATTTTGCCATGTTGAAGTGTAACATTTTGCCTTGTTGAAGTGTAACATTTTGCCATGTTGAAGTGTAACATTTTGCCTTGTTGAAGTGTAACATTTTGCCTTGTTGAAGTGTAACATTTTGCCTTGTTGAAGTGTAACATTTTGCCTTGTTGAAGTGTAACATTTTGCCTTGTTGAAGTGTAACATTTTGCCTTGTTGAAGTGTAACATTTTGCCTTGTTGAAGTGTAACATTTTGTCATTTTGTTTGTTGAAGTGTAACATTTTGTTGAAGTGTAACATTTTGCTTGTTGAAGTGTAACATTTTGCCTTGTTGAAGTGTAACATTTTGCCTTGTTGAAGTGTAACATTTTGCCTTGTTGAAGTGTAACATTTTGTCTTGTTGAAGTGTAACATTTTGCCTTGTTGAAGTGTAACATTTTGCCTTGTTGAAGTGTAACATTTTGCCACATTTTGCCTTGTTGAAGTGTAACATTTTGTCTTGTTGAAGTGTAACATTTTGCCTTGTTGAAGTGTAACATTTTGCCTTGTTGAAGTGTAACATTTTGCCTTGTTGAAGTGTAACATTTTGCCTTGTTGAAGTGTAACATTTTGCCTTGTTGAAGTGTAACATTTTGCCTTGTTGAAGTGTAACATTTTGCCATGTTGAAGTGTAACATTTTGCCATGTTGAAGTGTAACATTTTGCCTTGTTGAAGTGTAACATTTTGCCTTGTTGAAGTGTAACATTTTGCCTTGTTGAAGTGTAACATTTTGCCTTGTTGAAGTGTAACATTTTGCCATGTTGAAGTGTAACATTTTGCCTTGTTGAAGTGTAACATTTTGCCTTGTTGAAGTGTAACATTTTGCCTTGTTGAAGTGTAACATTTTGCCTTGTTGAAGCCTTGTTGAAGTGTACCATTTTACTGTATTGTTTATCACCTATTATCCACTGAATTCACTCATGTGATGTTTTTTACAGTGGCAGTGACAGTACATCGTAAATTGAAAATGGCTTAACAAAATGGCTGCCTCCATTTGATTTTGTCCTCCTCATCTTTACTATAAAACCTGTCTAAACTTTTCTGAATTATGTGATACAAACTATCTGATATTTGTTTTCACTTTATTAGAGATTTTAAGAAACTTGTCTGCAAGTTGTAATTTTGGCTTAACAAGGCTCACAAAGTAAGAACTTCTGAAACTTCTTTCATAAAGCCTCATACGAAATGAAAGCTTATTTTTGATTCTATATATACCTATTAGTATGAAAATATTTTGGGCCACAATAGCTCCATTGGTAAACCTTAAACAAACAAGACATTGTATTAATATAACAGTGTAACCTATAGATTTACTTAGAAATAATAAAATTATAATTGCCATAAGTTTTATTTTCTGCAATGTAACAGGATGTCTTTATAATTTTTATGAATTTGTAATTTATAATTGAAAATGATCAAATGAGAATGTGAACCATTTAAGCATGATGCTAATGAGATAATCATTGTAGATTGTTTTGAATCATAAAATTAAAACCAGTGAATGAATTTTGATTAATTAAGAACGTAAATAACATTTGCAATATATTTATGACACATCTGACTATAAAAATTTGAATGTGTAACTATAGCAACAGAGTGCCTTGATGGACGTGTCCATGCTGACCAACAGCCTAGTGACAGAGAGTCACTACAATTCACAGTCAGGAAGTGTCGGGGATGGTCATCTGACCGGTAAGGTGGGCACAGCCCTGTACGTCAGTCCAGAGATGATGACTGGGGAGAGCAAGATCATCTACAGTCAGGTATAGTGTTGAATAAAGAAATGAAATAAAATTTGAATTCAGCTAACAAATTATCAAATAAATTTCACATCATATTTTTTAACATATGATGCCGTGATTAGGCACTTAATTTGTCTGTGATGCTAACAGCTTTGTTTTTTGACAGTTTTAGGTTTTGTGGAAAAGGATAAGGTTATCTAGTGTCATTTGTCTTAAAATATATTTTGATGTTTAGAAATCAATGGAGTATGATTGTGAGTCTGGTGTGACATGATGGACACAGTTTACTGTAACTTGGAATTTCAGTGTTTCAGATTATTATTCAATATTGTATTCAGTTTTGGAGTTTTGTAACAAAAAAGTCCATATCTAGAACAATATGTAACACTGATATATGATAGAAGATAATCCCTTTGTTTGTAGAAAGTGGACATGTATAGTATGGGAATCATCTTCTTTGAAATGTGTTATAAACCTCTCCCTACCGGGATGGAGAGAGTCAAGATCCTCAGCAATTTACGACTCCCGGAAGTCAAATTTCCTGATGACTATGATCAGGTCAACTTCGAAAATCAGGTTAGAATCTTACCATAGCTAATACATGAATGTGAGTTGATCAGAAATGTGTCATTTAGTTGAATGGTAGATGGTATTTATTAAAATTTGAGAAGAGTAAAATGTCTATTTTTCACAAAAAACAGGATGGCAAAGGACTTCATGAAAATGTATGAATATAACTTGGAAATCATTCCATCAAGTAGCTTAAGATTTTTTTTTCTATCAGTTAAAAAGATGGAATGGGCTAATTTCGCTTCACATTCCTAAAAGAATATATTTTGTGATCTTTACTGGTGAAATCTACGACAAAAATGATTTACAAATTCGATATATGTTTTACATACACTATAAATTCTATTGCAGACCAACATAATTAAATGGCTGTTAAATCATGACCCTAGTAAGCGACCGACCTCTACTGAGCTGTTGCAATCACCATACCTACCCCCTCCACAACTGGAGGAGGCAGAACTCAATGAAGTATTAAGATCTACGATCTCCAGCACCAACAGCAAGGCTTACCGACGTATGATAGGGGCTCTCTTCTCACAGACGATTAACTCAGTCGTTGATGTGCTGTATGATACAGACTATCATAAAGTATGGCTGCTCTGTCATTCCTACAGAAGAATAATTCACAGAGAATAAAATAACGTTATGTAACTGAATTTTATTGTCTGCTGATAAATATAGTGAAAATTTGAATCAGTTAAACTTGAAAAAATTGGTCACTATTTCCAGCTATCCATTCCATTGTTAAAGTCAATATTGTTATGTAAAATTGCAGCTGCCCAACATAATTTCATTTGATTTTGGACTTCCATAAAACAAATTTTACATGGGATTTGGGCATATTGATTTTTTAGAGACAAATTTTCATTTTGAGCTCACCTGGCCCGAAGACCGAAGTGATCTTATGCCATGGTGTGGCATCTGATGTCTGTTCCCCGGTATAATTTTTTCCATTTAAACGACTTCTTCTTACTAACCGACAAACCAAATGTCATGGTATTTGGCTGGTGGATTGCTATGGCAAAGCCTAAGAGGTTTTGTGAAAAGAAATAACTAACCAAGCATGGTATTTTACTGATAGATTCCTAGGATGAAGCCAGTAAAAGTGAAAAGAAATGACCTTGTCCCTTATTCAAAGGCACAGGGGTCAGATATGTTAAAGCCTTACAATGACTTCTTCTGACTAATCAAAAGGCCTACAAGATGGTATTTGGCTGATAGGTTCATGACAATGCTTGCCAAAAAAGGATCAAATTTGTTAAAAAACTTAGAATGCTTTCTTCTGACTGACCATAAGGCAGAGAAGCATGGTATTTTGTATTTGGCTGATAGGTCTCTGGAATGAAATGACATTGTACCATATTCAAGGTCACAGAGTAAAATTGTCAAAATGCAAAAATGACTTCTCCTGGTAACCAAAAGTCTGAGAAACAGGATATAAAGCAGAAAGGTGTTGTTAGGTCTAAACTTGACTAATTTCGAGAAAAAAGGGAATGACATTTACCTGTAATCCAGGTGATAACTGTCACTGTTTAGAGTTGAACATTAGAAACTGTTTATTATGGAAATTGGTTAAAATTGATTGGATATGCCCACTTTGAATGCCAGTGGTTTATATGTTACTGTATTGGTGATGAACACGGAGTCCAGTTTTAATGAACATTGATCAGGTGGGCAATTTCGGCCCATTGGGCCTGATGTTGTCTATTTCTGTTATTGCATATTTTCTTGCAACTAAATGTAATAAAACTCTACAGTGTTTAATTAGTTTTTTGTTGGTGTTAGTCTGAACTAGAAAGAAACAACAAACGCAGGTCTATAAAAGTGAAAAAAAATTGTAAACATTTTACAGGGTCGCTAAGCAACAGCATTACTTTTACTATTTCATAGGGGCCGCTGAATCTGAAGATCACCCTCATCCAGCAGCTTGTGAGAGAGACACTGATACGCTTATTCCAGAAACATGGTGCAGTACAACTGACAACTCCCTTGCTCATGCCGAAGTGTGGTGTTTATGGGGTCAGTGATGCCTACACCTGTCTCATTGACCATAGTGGTCAGCCTATTGCTCTTCCTTTTGATCTCAGGGTGAGTACTAGCTAGATCTTATTGTCCCACTGATCACAGTGGTCAGTTGTCCACCATTTGCTTTGATCTCAGGGTGAGTACTAGCTAGATCTTATTGTCCCACTGATCACAGTGGTCAGTTGTCCACCTTTTCTTTGATCTCAGGGTGAGTACTAGCTAGATCTTATTGTCCCACTGATCACAGTGGTCAGTTGTCCATCTTTTCTTTGATCTCAAGGTTAGTACTAGCTAGATCTTATTGTCCCACTGATGACAATGGTCAGTTGTCCATCTTTTCTTTGATCTCAAGGTTAGTACTAGCTAGATCTTATTGTCCCACTGATGACAATGGTCAGTTGTCCACCTTTTCTTTGATCTCAAGGTTAGTACTAGCTAGATCTTATTGTCCCACTGATCCGTGGTCAGTTATCCACCTTTTCTTTAATCTTAGGGTAAGTGTCTGATGCTGTAAGATTCCATTTCCCCAGTGACCACAGTCATCACTTTTTTCTGTGATCTCTGTAATTTTCTTTAATTCTCTGGGGTAAGTGTGTAACTTGACGACCTGTCCTGTTGATCACACAAGCCAGTAAATCACTTTTCCCTTTGATTTGAGGATAAGTATTGAACTAGATTCCACTATCCTGCTGACCACAACGATCAAGTGTTAACTTTTTTTTTATCCCATGATAATTATCTAACAAGATTCCATTATCCTGCTGACCACAGTGATGAGTCGGTCATTCTTCTCTTCCATGTAAGAGTATCTTACTCAATCTCATTTCGCTGCTGACCACAACACTGAGCTGGTCACTCTTATTTTTGAACTCAGGGTAACTAAGCATCAGACCAGATCCCATTGTTCTTGATACAGTGGTCAGTTCATTATTTGTCTCCTTGACTACAGAGTCTTTTGTAAAGACCTGCTCAGATTTTATTGACCGTAGTAACCTAGGTATGTAAGTACAATGATATACTATACCTATATGTACAATGATATACTATACCTATATGTACAGATATATATTATACCTATATGTACAATGATATACTATACCTATATGTACAATGATATACTATACCTATATGTACAATGATATGCCTATATGTACAATGATATACTTTACTTATATGTACAATGATATACCTATATGTACAATGATATACTGTACCTATTTGTACAATGATATACTATACCTATATGTACAAATATATATTGTACCTATATGTACAATGATATACTATACCTATATGTGTTTTAGGTTCCTTTCGCTCGCTATATTGCTCGAGGGGGAGTCCAGCACCTGAAGCGTTTTTGTATTGACCGAGTTTACCGAGAGAAGATGCACAGTATCCAACATCCAAGAGAGATAACTGAGTGTGTTTTTGACATTGTGACACACAACCAGGGAAAGTGAGTATAAATCATCAGCTTTAAACAGTTTTCTCCCCCTTCCTCCCCAACAGTTTAAAAAAAAAATTCACAAAATGTATGGTAAAGCCGCTCTTAGTTGAAGTAGCATTGTTTGAATACCCCATATTTGTCAAACTGACGTTTTGTTCCCGACTGTATCCTCATATATATTCCTTATTACTTAACCTTGGACTCCTTGTATTGTTCTTTGCCTAATATCAATTCCTCTCCCTTTATATATAAATCAATTGTTGTTATACAAATCTTTTTTGTGTAAAACAAATTACAAAATGGCAAATATTTAGCAGAAGGGAAGGGATGAACTAGCCAAGACATGCCATTTATGTTTATCAGGTAATGAATTATGGTAGTGGATGAGGTTGATAACACAATAATAACAAAGAATTCACATTTTACTTTGAATTTGTTGAAATAAGATGATGCAAAATAATTCTTCATTCTAACATCATTCTAAGCAATCTGCTTACTGCACATTTTATTTTGCTGTGAATGGCAAATTTTACACATCTTTCTTGCGTAAAATTCCAAACATTGAAATTTTAAAGTTTGTCAAAATTAATTAGACTGGTGTAAAAAAAGAGTATTGAACATGTCGTTATCACTGTCTGGCGGTCTATGACCAACCTCTGATTACTGAAATCCCTGTATACTTGAACTTTTCACATAGTCCCTAAAAGTTTGTCACATCAGGGTTTTGAAGAATTTTGATTTTGATTATCTGCTTTTCAATCAAACTGAACGTCCCAATGACAATACTTAAGTTGGTTAAAACTTCACAAATTAATTCCCTCCAGCTTGATTCCTGATGCTGAACTTCTGGTTTTGGTCCAAGATATCATCAATGAATTTCCAGCTCTACAGGTAAAGTTTGGACTGATTATTACATTACTAACCTGATCGTAATTAATCGGAACCACCACTAATACATATACATAATTGTATGAGCCATATACTAATTACTTACATCATGACTCTGTGGATAGGTGTTACTGAAGGCGACATCAGAATCAGTCCACTTGTAAACAATAAGAACATTGTTTGCACACTAGCTTTCTAACAAAGAGGAATCAAATTGTTGGGTGTGATAATTAGGTTGATGAGTTTGTGAATAATCTTTGGCTTTCCTTCACAGGCAAGGAACTATTATGTGAGGATAAACCATGTGTTGATTCTACATGCGATCCTGTCTCATTACGGTGTACCAGATGACCTCAAGGACGAGACTCTGCGTGTTCTGACTGGAGTCAAGGTCAGTAGATAAGTGACCTGATATTCAGTGTAGCGTACATTTAAAGGATACTAAAAGGTTATATGAAATTGACATCAGTATGTTAAATTCCCTCAGACTCTACCATACAATGAACATTGTAACAAAATCCATCAAATTGAAGGAACATGTTGGCTCCATCTTGGAGATGCCGTTTGTCTGTTGTTTTATAGCCAATTTATTTATATCACAATGGTATGTAGCCTAGATCATAGAGTCTCTTGTAAACTGCACATATTTATTTGGGCCATATCACTTTGATAGAATTTTCCTCCCATCCCCGTTTCACAGAGGGAGCTGTAATTTATTTATATATGTAAGGCCTGTTCCACATCCCAGCTGTTCCCCTGCACCCTGTAAACCTGACCTTTGGCACTGCTGTGTTCTGCAGTGGAAAATACGCCACAGGCACTTTCATACAGTACATACCAGTTCATACAGACCTATAGTATTAATAATGTCCATTGTGTTGCCATAAATAGACACAAAAATGAATACAAATGTATACCAGTCTACGCTCTTTGTCAACACTATTTATACCCCCTGCAACAAAGTTGGAAATAGAATCAATCGGTTTGTCAGTCCATCTGTAGGCAAAATTTATCCAGCTATGCATTTGCTTAGTTTACAACAGATCTTTTTAAAATTTTGTGAGAATGGCCAGAACATTATAGAGATGTACCCTTGAAGGGAATTTTTTTCATGGAGTTCTGACCAAATTTGGTATATACAGGTCTTTGCATCTGTGGAGGGTATTAGTTATCCTCAGGATGACAGCTGTAGATAAGGTTACGTTTTGTACACTGAATGTGAGCACCTTTGTTTTGCCACAGGTATATATTTCAATTCTATGAATTCAAACTTTTTTCCTTTGTTGTTTCCATCAAAATGGTAAATAAAAGTTATCTCACCTGCCAGATTGAAAGCCAGAACAAATCCCATATGAAGGCACTTAATGACCTTGGTCTGAGTGAGTCAGTGACCAGCAGTGTCCTGAGTGCCCTGGAGATGGAAGGGCCATACAAGAAAGTGTCCAGTTTCCTTCGAATCATTACTAAAACCAAAGGACAGGTAATAGCACTGAACTCTTTTCACTGATCTGACTTCTATTATATACCTGGTATATGTGTAAATGATGTAAACTGATCTGTCAGGTGTGATGTTATAATGTCCTTTGCAAACGTTTTTATAGAATTCTAAGTAGACTTGCTTTTAGCCAGGAATATATTAAGATTCAAGTCTTTTGGCAGCGACAAATCACAACTTTCTTTTTATGTTACTAGGCAACCACATTGACCAATCAGGATCATTTGTTTCTTGTTTATGTTACTAAGCAACCACATTTACCTTTTAGAATAAAATGTCTCTTGTTCATGTTGCTAGGCAACCAAACTGACCATTTAGAATCAAATGTCTCTTGTTGAAGTTGCTAGGCAACCTTATTGACTAATTAGAATCAGTTGTTTCTTGTTCATGTTACTAGGAAGCGACGTTAGCCAAGCAAGGGATACATGAAGTGGAGGCAGTGATAGGACATGCAGAGGCCATGGGACTCAAATTACCTGTATGTGCTCTCATCTATAAACTGTTTTTGAAGAATATGTCAGTTTATATCATGATAGTATATCTTTGGGGAAAATGCATTTTTATGAAAAAAGTTTTTCGCAGCTTGGTAATACTTAAACAGAATAAATCAAGGATTGTTACTTTTTTCTACAAAACAACACTACATGTATCGTTTCTTGTTGTATAATTTCTTTACTTACCTTGGTTACAGATTGTGTTCAGTCTAGGATGTATCTACAATACACAGCAGTATTCTGGTGTCATATTCCAAATTGTGTTTGACTTGAAGAGGAAGAAGCGCACTATCCCAGACCTGATAGCTGCGGGGGGCAGATATAATGGACTGGTAAACATTCCAATTCTAACAAAATTATTTTCTTGTTCTTTATTTTTTCTCACCTGTGACAAAAAGTCACACAAGCAAGAGTAACTTGATATTTTTCAGCTGAGTTGTTGCTAACATTTTACTTTATAAAAGTTATGTCTTTAGATCCTTTGCTCAAATTGTCTGATTCCAATTTAAACCAAACTTGGGAATATACAATAGCTAGATCACATCTTCGGCATCTCAACACATCAAAAATTTACAAAATGGATTTAAGATTTTATGGTCCAGTATGTCTAGGAAGTCGGAATGGTGGTTGATTGGAAGGGGGATATAGATTTTAAAGTATTTTGCATTTTGCTTAAAATGACCATATTAACAAAGTGGGACAGATGAGACAACATATAATTATGATAATTTTTGCTTACTGTGGGTCTACCTTTATTGATTGTTGAATTTTTTAAGTCATTGAACAGCATGAAATGATTACATGAGAAATAGACCTGTCTGTAGTGCAATTTACTTTTCCATCCTTGGAATTTTTCCAAACTACCACTATTTTAGTTGCAATAAACTTGAAACCTATATAAATTCTGACTGATGGAAAGAGCTCGGTTGTGTAGTTGACTTTACAATATTATGTGTCCTTGACAGGTGAAGAAGTTCTTGTCTCCACTACCTTCCAGCTCCACACCTACTGGTCATTACGCTGCCGGGGTCAGTATTGCCTTCGAGAAGATTGTAATGGCAGTCGGGGAAAACAAGGAGGTAAATTTGAGCTTAAGGCAATGGATTAAGAAAACAAGCTAATAGTTTTCATTGCAGATTGTATTAACAGTCCGGGTACCTCTAATTATTGATTGTGTAACCATGATGTACTGTAAGTCAATTTCATATGTAAAAATCTAGCCCAGATAATGATCCTTCATGAGGTCAATGACCACAATTAACCTTGACAGGAAAATGACATTAGAAACACTAGTGTGATCCTGAAAAATCATCTGATTAGATTGTTACTGGCGTCATCAATCCTGAACAAGAACATGCACACAGATGATTCGTAATTAAAGAGTTTTTTGTATTCTAGAGCTTTTTTTGTATTAGAATAGGGATAATCCTACTTTGTTACAGAGAATGGTCATTATTATTATGACATTAGGGCCATCAACAGGTAAATACAGAGAAAGGAACTCAATGCTGTTTTAATTATGATGTAGAATAATGGCAAATTTGACCCAGACATCAAGTTTCAAATACATGATTGCTTATTTATCAAGATTCCTAATAATGATTCATGCTTTGAACATAAGTATTCTGTAGCACAAATTTAATGATCTTACAGTATCATCGTGACCTATTGCGATCACCTTCATCTGGTATCATTAACATTTTCGACTTCTTCTCAAAAACCCCTGGTCCGATTTCGATGAAATTTTGCAGAAACTTTCCTTGGCCCAAGATTAAATCAATTGTGAATTATACAGTCACTAAACCCCAGGGGCCTGAGAGATGGGGCCAAAAGGGATCAAATTTACTCGGATTTTAAAAACCTTTTTAAGACCCAGATACAGTAGAATCAAATACTCTTCATGAATGGAAGCATCTTAAGGTGCTTTACTAAAATTATGATTTCATGGCCCCAGGGTCTCACATATCCTGTTGGGGAGGGGGAAAAGTTTACTATAGTTCATTTAGGAAAACAAATTTTTGAGAATAATTTGTTACATTTCCATTGGAAATATCTCAAACTTAGTTAGAATTATAAGTGAAGGATGACGACTTGATGGTATGCCCATTTTGATACTGACTGACCCCCAGGGGCTGATGGGCGCGGCCAAAAGGGGTCAAATTGCATTTTTGAGCTTAATGTTGATTATTTCCCACTGGAAAAAAATGTTATAAGAATTATCAGTATATGAAGACTGTTTTGATGGTATGCATGTATTGACACTGTCTATATTCATTGTCTCAATTTCTGTTTCATGACACTTGTTAACTACCCTTCAACATTTATATTCAATATTGCTTATCTCAGGTGACTGTCAAGGCCGCTAGACCTTTTGTTATTGTTGCAGTTTTATTATATTGTGGATCATGTTTACATGTGGCTTATTATTACAAAATAATAACAGTAATAGTTTTTAAAATTTTCTTGGTCCCATTCATGAACCACCAAATAGCATTCCTGTGTAAAGAATGGGTTGTACAGTATTTACTAGTAGCTTCATCGTAAGCAGTATCACTGTAGTACTTTCATACAAGGATTTATGTACAAAATTTCTGATTGCTCTCACCAAAGAATATTATATGTGATACCCACTAATATTTGTCATGAATATCATCTGTTTCAAACAGTTTCATCCACCTGGTCCATTTGATGTTCTTGTGTGTACGATTGGCTACAACCCGATGCTGAAGGAGAGGATGGGCGTGGTCAGGGACCTCTGGGGGGCGGGGCTTAGGGCTGATATACTACTGGATACACTCCAGGTAATAAACAAAACAAGTAACTTTAATTATTCTAGGTGTATAGGCTATTAATCCTCTCAAACAAGGTCGTTCATGTAACTGCATATAGTCATGTCCTGTTATGGCTTCCTTTTCAAAATTTAAAGAAAAAAAGAAAAATTCTTTATTTTCTCTGTCCTACATCATTTAGCTAAACATACACTATGACTACTATGCAGACTTGTTATATTAGGTAGATAATATCTCATTCATGGTTGTCAGTGTGTCAAGAGAAACAGGATTCTGCGAAATACATTATTGTATCATTTTAGACTGAAATATGGAATAATGAAAATTTTGTGGCTAAAACCTTCTAAGAACAGTGAATATATTTTGAAGGATTGATTTTAAGTGAAATGAACAGCAGCACTAAAGTGGTTGTTAATTTGTGTTTTTTCATGATTCTGACCTCACTATATGCTTTTACTGCAATGACAGTTGTGAACATCACACAGGGTCCCATTATCTATGTTGATTGAATATCATGGCTCTAGTACACAATAAGATTTTATTCTGTGTCCATTCATTAATTAACCTCTTAACACAATGTAAACAGCAAATTTTATCCTTTTGTCAAGTGTCTTTGTGAAAACGTTTCAAATTGTGACATGGGGCTATAATTCCTTACAGTACATGTGAATTCTTTGGTCAAATCCCGAGATGTCAGTGACTGTGGTTTCATAGATAAGGGTCAGTCATTCATCATAAAATTTGATTCATAAAATTTCAGTTCATAAAGGAGTTAGTTTGTAGTGTTGTATAGGAATAAAATTTGAAACTGGGAAAACATAATGAAAACTGAATCACTGTAGTTTGATACTAGAAGTTTGACTTAAATAAATGGAAAAAGGATGGGAATGGTCACTGACCTCCGGAGGGGTGGTACATAGGGCTGATGATCTACTAGATAGAGGGAAGAAAGTAAGGAGAATGGGTGGGCAGGAATCTTGGAGGAGAGATTTACTCCACAGGCAAAAAAGAAAGAAGAGAATGGATGTGGTCAGAGACAATGTGGGAGGGTGAGGGTGGTTGTGTTGGTCGTTTAGGGCATACTAAAGATAATATTCTAGAAATCAGTATGTACAGTGAGACCTTGACGAGGAGCTGGGAGGAAGGCAGGAATAAGTCCCCCTTTTCTACTGTACTATATATATTATAGATATCTGACTTTGTGAGTATAAAGGCTGTTAGTAGGGACAGTATATCACATAGTTTATGTTCATTAACATAAAACTGTATAAAACAGGCCATGCTGATAAGGACAGACATCGAACCTGTTTCTATATCAGTAGCATACTGTAGTTTTATTGTGTGTTAAATATTGTGAAGTGTTTTCTGCTCTTACATGTGTATCATTATGTGAGGAAGTGTTTTAATGAACAAAGACTTATGGAAAATGTGTCAGCTGAGCCTACTAGCTTAAATTGTGTTCTGTATTTCTGTTTGCAGAGTATAGAGGACATTCAGGAGTATTGTCGTACCGTAGGAATCACTTATCTAGTCATCCTGAAGGATGCGGACACTGGCTGTGTCAGGGTAATGTTATAAACTCATTAAAAACAGCACTAAAACACCTCTCAGACATGTTGTTGGATATGTGTGTCTTAAACTCTGTGTGTGTTTTCACATAGTTAACATATTTCACTGAAGTTAATACAATCCTTAAGGATATCTGAAAGATTTTTAGTATTATTATTAATTTTTTTTGTTTTGAAGAAGGGGAACAATACTGACCCACTTAGCATGGTTGTCGGGCGTCTGTACTGGAAATACTGTTATTGTGGTAGTTACCAGAGTTATCAAGCTCTTGGACTAACCCAGTCCCATTGTATTTCTTCATGTTTATTTAAAATAAGGTCATTTACAGAGTTATTGCCCTTCTCAACCATCTTCTTTTGAAAAAAGAGACTATGATAATGTTATTTTCTCTCCTCTTTTTTTTTATCAATTTAGGTGCGTTCAATAGAAAGAGAAAGAGTGACAGAAAAGAAAATTAACATTCCTGATCTACCTGATTACCTCCAACCAAGGAACCAAACTTCTAAAATGTAAGTCTACAGATCATATCTCATTTTCTCTGTGAATTTTTCATGGTCTGAATTCATCAGTTCAATTAAAAGATACATTTTGGTTTATGATTAATGATAACATCTATCCATTAATGTCTGTCTGATCACTCAAGAGAAGAAATCTCATAATTTGTCTGCCATTGTAATTGGATTAATATAGAATAAAGAATTGAATCTTTACAGCATGTACATTTTAAAAGACTATTTGAATAGATGGAGCTTGCAATTAAGTCCAGTTTTAAGAAGCAATTTATGTTCTGATGTAATTTTTAATTGCTTATGTTTATAAGACCTATAACAGTGCCACACTGTCCTGTCTTTGTACATACATAACACCAAAGTTTGTCAGCATGCAAACAGCCTCCTTCCTTGAGGGATTCTCATGAAACTTCACACACTTATAAAATATCTAAATTTCTTGGAATGGACCCAAGGTTATGGATTCAAAGTCATTTACTGTTATTGGCAATTCATCTGGGGATTTTCATCAAACTTCATACACTTTAAAAGACTCAAAATATATTAATTGAGTTTCAGAGTTGTTAGAAAATCATTGCCAGCACTATAGTTGCTTAACTCCTTTTAGTGATTTTCATCAAACTTCACACATTTTTAAAGTTCTTAAATGGCTTGAATTTCAGTGTTGCATCATTCTTTAACCTCACATACTTACAAAACAACCATAGACAAGTTTGGGTTTCAGGATTGTTGGGTCAAGGTCAAAGTCACATTTTTGAAAGTCATTGTAACAGATTTAGTGGCCTCATGCCTTCAAGCATTTTGATCAAACTTCACACACTTTCTCATGATCATAACACATAATTATATATTGGCCATTTCTAGATACCTATCTATTGTATTGTTTCATTACAATTAGTAACAAACTAACTGTATAATTTAATTTTTTGCCAAATTAACAACACAATCTTTATAAATTATTACAGTGTAATAGCGTACTGGGGCCAATAAGGAACATGTACCAGCAATTCATAGTATACTTGTTTCCTTACAGTGATCAAAATGAAATGCAGCAAAATCAAACCGGGAAAAGTTCATCTGCCATTTATCAGCCTCATTCTGAATACAGCCAATCCTCCTCTAATTTCACTATCAATTTCTCGTTTATAATGATGGAAGGTGGACGCATAGCAGCTAATCACCGAAGGAAACTGGAGTCTCAGGTAAACTAGAAAGCATCTAACCTAGAGAATATTTCTAAAATCTACACTGAAATATATATACTGGGAGTATTTATATGATAGTCAGATCAAAATGTTGTTACACTGAGATAGAGGTCTACATCTGCAAACAGGAGATTTGATGCATTCTACTTTCTACTGAGTTCAAAGTCAAGTGTCTTCATATATATATAACCCTAACAAAATGAACCAGTACATTGAACATTTCCTAGAATATTCAAGTTAATCAAGTACAATAATTCTAAGGAAAGCTCACCTGTTATTTGTTTGGTGCACTGGTATGGTACTAAGATGTGGCATCTGTGTAATTGGTAATAATTTTGTGGCCATTCTCTTTTAAGTGATCAGTCTACTTCAGCATTCAATATGACAATGAAAGGTGAATAATCATTTTGGTCGGGCATTTCTGAAGAAAAGTGTGTTTCTAATGATTTATTTAATTGATCTAATGTAATAAATATTGCCATTTCAGGCTCCATGACCCTGACTTATTTTTGCTGGAATGCTTTTTTAATGGATTATTTTTAAACTCCATCATAGATAAATAAAGTGAACAGTTAACTTAATTGATTTCTATACAATAATTACATTGTATATGTCCAGATCTTCAGTAAAGTGGCGTCCACTCTGTCCTGGGTACAGACCAAATCTTTTGAGGTGGTGTGTGTTGAGTTGACTTCAGCAGTATTAAAAGTCATAGCAGCATTCCTAGATGTGAGTAGAAGGACCTTCACCTTGATTACTCAGCATAAGTTTGACCTTCACCTTGATGACTCGACAGAATGAATCAACTTTCTTAGCTCTATTTTACATAGCTCTGTTTTACACAAGAAGTTTTGTCAGACTTTTCACTGATGATTTCTGTCTTAACTTTTAAGTCTAAATTTCAGGTAAAAATTCTGTGTCTTCATCCAAAAAAAAAAGGGATTTGAAAGCCCTTATAGAGACTGTAATAGAATGTGATTGTCAGAGGACTGTACTACATATTTATTTACAATTCCCATTTCTACTTTTTTGAATGGTACAAATAAACCAAAAATTGGCTTATTTTATTTCTTATTACAGTTTGACAATTCAGAAAAGGATTATGAAGATAGTGTGGCAGTAGTTATGGAAAAGTAAGCTGTAACTCATAGTTCATATCTCACATTTATGTTAAGGCTGTATACTACCTTACTATACTTTAGTTATATTCATTTTTGTATCATTCTTTACAAGGATTTATGTCAGAGTTGTCCCTGTTCACTTAAAAAAGACAGTTTTGATATATTAGAAATAATTGTTACAGTCAAGTTTTATTATATTTCATGTTGTTTTACAAAGCTTTGTCAAAGAGATGCCTCATACATCTTAAAGATATTTTACAGTTACATAAAGGATTATCAAATTAGTGTGTTTCTTTATTTTAGGTTACAAAGACACCGAAAATACCTCAGTAAAATAACTGACCAATTATATCAACTTAAGTTTGAGAGACAGTAAGTAGAACATACAGCAGATTTTCTCAGTAGGAAATAAAAAAGAGTTTTCAATTTCAAACATAGTTTTGATATTTAAAGGCTTTCGATGAAAATGTAATAATTACTTGTAACTAATGTTCCATTAGGACTGAATCAAACAAAATCAGATTAATTTCTTAAATGGCTATATTCATTGATTGTATAAGCCTCAGTTAAATACACATCATTATCATTATTTTGACATCACTTATAAGGTTGAAGTGCTTGTTAACTTTTGTGTTACTTCTGTTTCAGGTGCAGTTTTGTGGTTCTGTATGGTAGTAAGGATGATAGCTTAAGGCTTCTCCTGTAGCTCCAATTATTTATCTCTTCAAGAGAAAACATTTTTGTCATGTGACCAGTGCCATGTGATGGCTCATGTGACTGTATTCTGATCATCATTGTTCATTGTTGTATGTAAGTGTGTATGTGCTGTGGGATCATAACAAGGGAGTAGATTTCAAAGTAATTGTTGTTTACCTGGAGATTTGTTTTATGATCAAATTTATTTTATCCTGTTTGGTTAGTATGACATATAACTGTGAGGTTGTTGTATGGAATGTAAGGTTGTTTGTACGAATTGTGAGGTTGTACGAGATATATACAATTTCTGCTAGATCTGTGATACTGCTGTATCAGAAACCTCTTATGAGAATAAGAAACAACTTCAATGTCTTCTAAAAACTAAATGGCTGCTATGTTGCTTAAGCTGGACACAAAGAAATATAAGAAAGTGTTACCTCACCCTTTTTTTGACTGCCATATCAGTGGATTAAAATCCTAATAAAGACATGTCTTTATATAGAGTGAAAAACGCTTATCTGAAATGTCACAGGATCGTATGGCTAATAATCATTAAATGATATTGCTCCAAATTCCAGGTTGACTTTTACTCCTACAACATAAGAAGCTGCTGGTCGGTCAGTTTGTTATCTGATGGTATTGTGCCTTCTGCAACCTCTTATTTTTAAACATTATTTCATTAATGCTTATTCTGTTCAGAAATTAAGACAGAAGGAAAGATTCAATTATATAAGAACTACATATAATTAGAGTTTATGGGCATAAGTAATCCCTTTTAAATGTTCAAATCACTATTATGTAGTATATAAATAATTATTCATCACTAAAGAAACTCCAGCTTCATTCCAGCACTTAATTTACTTAGCTTTCAAACATGGTAGTTCTGATCAATGCAAAATACAAAGGTGTGCACTATGCTAAATAGATACAAATGATGAAGGGAAATGAAGCAATTCTTTTTTAGTAAATCAACAGGACATTTTCTAACTTTTAGGGAGTGCTGATGTTTGGTCTGCTTCATGCTGGAAAAGGAGAATTAGTTATTTGTCCATTTTTGAATGAAAGAATTTTCAATTATGCCCTGTTAAAGATAAAATTTTATGCAAAAATTGTTTAATTTATCAACCTTTTAACTTTGAATCACTTTGGGAAGTGAGAGCTTACAAGACACCTATCATACATTTCTTGTCACGTAAGTTTCTAGCATTGTTGCAGAAGGTTGATGGTTAAAGTAGGTCCACATTTTTTTTTCGGAATAGACCATTACTACTTTCTGTCTATACAATGTGTAATAGAGAAACATAAACTTCTATTTTTTTTCTGGAATTTCAATTGGATTGACCTGTTGATTGTTTTGTTGTCTATGAAATTTCTTATGCTTCACTCATGGCTGAAACCCTACCTATAGGAATTCACATTCTGGTGCCTTCACTAGACTTCTGGTAACTTTAGATGAAGTTCAAAGATCACTGGTGGTCTCAGATGAACTCTGGTGAACTCTGTTGACCTCCAGTGACCTAAGATGACATCTGGTAATCTTCTGATAATCTGAGATAATCTCTGGTGACTTCTAGTGACCTCTGATGACCTCTGGTAACTTCTAATGACTTCTGGTGACTTTTGGTGGCCTTTGATGGCCTCCAGTGACTTTTTCGACCTCCTGTGACTCTGGTGACATCTAATGTTCCTTGGAATTCTCTGCTGTTTAGGGACATTCTCTGTTAACTACTGGTTGTCTCTGTTGATTCCTGTTAACTTTGTGTAACAGCTGGCGATGTCTTGTGAATTGTGCTTCAAAGTGATGTAAAGAAACATGTCATATGTATGTTACAGGAATTCAGCTGATGTGTGTAGCCTTTTATATCTATGACACACAAATATTTGAATTCCCTTGTGGTTGATAAAAAAAGAAAAAAACACGCACAACCAAATAGCTGATATGTTTTTGGCCTCCTAGCTGGAACCTGAAGGGACTATAATTCTGCATTGTGTCTGTCCACATTTCCATCCTTCCACTATCTTTTCCAGCCCCCATCTTCTACACAACTAATAACAGGAACTTAATACTTGGGTAATGGCTTCACTTTAGGTGAGGCAGTGTATCATGTGTCAAAAGTAGGTCACTCTGACCCCCATTTTGGCCTTTGGCCTGTATCATTGAAAAAGCTTTTCTGGGCCCTATCTTCTACACTTATTATCATGAGGACTGTATACTTGGGTTCACTTTGGTGAAGTTGTTTGTTGGTGGGAGGGGGCTGTAAATTGCTGAATCATCTTGTTTCTCTGAATAATTTTGACTGTTGCACAAAATCACTGAATGTTAAGTTACTGAAACATTGGTTGTCATATATACGTATATTTTGTTTTAATTTTAATTTAGTTTTGATAAGGTGTAGGAATGTATTTTATCAAAAATAGATTTTAGAAGTAAAAAGAGACAAATCTGTTATATGGTTGATATAACCCCTCCTTTAGCCCTAGTTTTTATTTTGTGTGAGGCAACTTACATATTTACCTTCAATTTAATTTGTTAACTAAGTGAAATCTTTCCATGTAAAATGATATTTTATGGGGCTCAAATTGCATGGTTTTCCAAAAATGGATATCCTTGTTGGCACTTGATTTCATGGATGAACCTTGCCAACTAAATCCACCAGCACTAAAATCTAAGTCCACTTTTATGTGTTTATCATTTTTTTTAAATACTTTGGTTTAGTGAATGAACAAACTCAAGGAAAATAAATCCCTTCACTAATATTAATGGTTTTACAGGTTCTTATAATATCTCCTATTTATCATCTTTGAAGTTGTATATATGCCATGAAAATAAAAACACCAAGGTGACAGATGCTGACCCTACAACACAATACATCGATAGACGAAACCTTGACATTAGAAACTGCATGTTTTATTTCATTGAGCCTTTACAGAGAAACTTTTTTCTTTTAAATTTTTCTTCAAGCTAGGACATGATATGATCTGTACAATTAGATGTCTTCAGATTTATTTTGTTCTTATTTTTACCACATATTATGTGTATCTACATATTTTGACTCAGGAAGTTTGGAATAAATCTCAAATTCTCTCTCTCTTTCACATTGAATTCTGTGATGGCAATATGTTTGTGTTAAGTTTCACTGTAGTGGGTGTTTCTGCAGTGAGAGTGTGTTTGTGATAAGTTTCACTGTATTGAGTGTTTCTGTGATGAGGGTGTGTTTGTGTTTAGTTTCACTTTAGGGTGCATGTCTCTATCCATATCTTTCGGATAAAGTGCAATAAGTGCTATGATAACCTTAAGTTTAAGATTTACTACATGTCAAATTCTATTGGTCAATATCTTTTCAGTGTCATACTTTTAGCATGTTTTTCATTTGATGTACTCTACTAATTTAGGATTGCTCTTATTAAAATTTTCACTGTTTGCGGTAATTCCTGATTTCATCATTTTGCTTACCTGGTTAGGCTCCGTAATACAAGAAAATTTGTGAAGATTCAATAAAACACTAAAACTTGGATGCTGTAAACTAAGAAAGCATACAGTATGCATAGCCTGTATATTTGTGTATATGTGTAGGCACATGTATTTGTTTAAAATCTGTGTATTACATTTAATATATTTAATTGTATTGACAGTTGTCGATATCAATTTGAAAAATATTCAACAATATTTTGTCAAGTCAAATATTCATTTTGAAAATATTGTGAAAAAAATATTTTCTTTTTTCTAGTTTGTTTGTTTGTTTTTTAGATTTTAACCCAATGGTGTTCAGTGGTGTTTCCTTAGTGGGATAAAATGTAATTGATTGTACAAAAAATTCTGCTGAAACCAGATATTTATAGAAGTATTGTCATCACATAATCAAAGCCAGTCTGGTTATTAAAAAAATTCTCAAAGTTTGACTTTGTGAGGAATTTCATATTATAGTGAAGGTTATGTGGAAAAACAGCTGTTTACCAAAATGTGTCTTTGTATATTTCTTGATATATTAAACCAGGAAGTTAATTTTTGATAAATTAATTGTTGGGAGGAATTCAGATGGAATGCTATATAAACGTATTGTATAAAAATATTTGTGATGAAAAGTTAAACCTGATTATATTGATACAAGACATTAAGGATATCTTGTATTATCCGACAAAATTTAATGTTCCCTCAAGTGAAACCAGACTATACTGACACCTCAAAAAATCAACAATGTTGTTTGATTGTTTGAATATGTTTCCTACACAAATGTAGATTAAATCATACCAGTATCTGATATAATTTTGTTGCACTGAAATATTTTTTCTGTTATTGACCCTGATTTCAAAGACACCATGTCTTAAATGGTTAAATGATTGTCTCCCCTGATGTCATTTTTGACAGGTTCCGCTGTGTCGTTAATCTAAGTGTCTGAAAATGTGATGTTGTAATTTGGGGTTTTACAGCAGGAAACATTTTGTGCCCCATACAAAAATCATACATGTTTGTTTGTCCATGTTTGCAATGTGAATGATACAGGCCCTATGAACCTCTTGTTATCTTTCTTCAACATAGAAGAGTGACTGTGTTTGTATTGATGACCAAGTTACCAATAAGAGATTGTTCTATTCATAAATAGTATTCATTATACATGAATAAAATTGGAAATATTTTGTTAACAATTGTTTGTTGTTAATGTCAATAAACATGTGATTATGTGATGATAACAAAGACAAAGATACCTGGTATTTTAAGGTCACTACTCCAGCTTAAAACCTCGGCAGATTTAAACCTTAGATCTGAAACATCATTTGGATGGGGAATTATTTCTTAAATTCAGAAAGTTGATTTGATCCCTAGGGACCTGGGGATAGGGTTCCAAAAGGGTAATACTTTGCTTCAAAACTCTATTCTTCGTTAATGATTGAATGGATTTCATTGGAATTTTGTCTGTGATAGGGGTTGCCTAATAATTTTTCAATTCAGAAAATTGATTCGAGTTCAAATTTGATCTGAAACGTTATTGCAGGTGTTTAACATTTCTTCAATTTAGTAAGTTGTTATCACCCTGAAGGGCTTGAGGGCAGTGCCTCAAAGGGGGAACTTTGACAATATTTTGCTTCA